TTAGTAACCATGGCAACACCGTTCATCGAAATCAAAAACCGATATATAGAATTATGCATCTTAGTATAGTCTACTTGTGTACCAAGTTATATTGAAATCAGATCAAAACTGTAGGAGGAGTAGCGTTTTGAAAGTTTTTAAAGAAAATTTCTATTTTTAGTAACCATGGCAACACCGTTCATCGAAATCAAAAACCGATACACAGAATTATGTATCTTAATGTAGTCTACTTGTGTGCCAAGTTATATTGAAATCAGACCAAAACTGTAGGAGGAGTAGCATTTTGAAAAATTGTTTACAGACGGATGGACAGACAGACAGACAGACGGACGGACGACGGACACCTTACTATCGCATAAGCTCTTCTGGTCTCTGACCAGTAGAGCTAAAAAATGAGATAAAATTTACTGTTAATAAAAAATCTGAAGCTTAAGAATCAGGTTAAAAGAATAAACTTTATTTATTTCCACAAAAGTTATCACACCCATTCAATAGAACAATCCAAGAAAAAGGCGCGAAGATAATTTACATTAGGGGTGAAACGATACACCTCCTTCACGGTTCGATACGTATTGTATAATTTTGTCTCGGTTCGGTTATTTTCGATACGATACATTTTGATAGAAGGAAACAAATTCTACGTTGTTTTATGTTTTCTTTTTCTAAATCTAGTCACATATTTTACGAATTTTATTTGCAAATTGACTTGAAGAAATTGATTAAAATTATTTGACTGTCAAAAATTATTTTACAAGCTATCAGTCATAAAAAATTTACGTTTTCTATACTTATTTATTCTGAGTAACGTGTTATACCTTATGCCAAACCCGACTGAATAACGATCCCGACCGAAAAATGAACCGAACCGAAAATTGGAGATTTTGCACCGTGTATCAAACCGAGAAAAAATACCGCGGTGCATCGATACCGCGGTGAACCGTTTCACTCCTAATTTACATGTGACATTTGGCGCGAAATGATTGTGTCACCCCTTTCTAGAAGGCAAATGGACTGATCCAGTAGTTTAGAAACGCAGAAAAAATGTTACACGGACATGTCCATACAAAGAATTGCAAAGAATAAGCATGTGCATGCAAAAAACTGAAGGAATTAAACACATCATTAAATTGCATCAGTAATATATGATTCTTCCTTCTGTAAACTGTTTTTCTTTAAATGCAGGTAACAAATTCCGTTGTAAATCAGCTTGCACAAACTCTAGTTCATTAAGAATGATCGCTTAGTTTCGGATCTTGGAAAAATTAATCCTTATACTGCCTGACGCACGTGGCGTCAGGCAATCAAAGGAAGACAACTCTTGCATTTTACATCTCGTGTCAATATATTCTTCTGTGTTTCAACAATGGCACAAGAATATTATGAAATTTAAGATAAAATTCAATAACTGGTACCTAGGTTATATTCTAAAAATATTTTGATCTTGCATTCCTGTATTATCTGCTTTTTATTGGCCAATGTTCACTTTCTAATCATTTTCCTTGGAAAGATAGATATAACTCTGTATGAATTATGCATTTTTTAAACATTCATACATTACTTAATTTTCACCCAATTTGAGAAATGATTGCTGATAAGGAATCAGTGGGTCATACTTTACACAACAAACATAACCAGAAGTCTCTGATGAGACTGTAGCTCTACTGGTCTATATGTAAAACAAAGGAAATGTAGCACTTGGATTTGAAACTTTGCAACATGCAACAATAAATAGATAAATAAATGTGTCTAGATGTAGTCTACTTCTTTGCCAAGTTATATTGAAATCAAATGAAAACTGTAAGAGGAGTAGTGTTTTCAAAGTAATTCACAGAAATTTCTATTTTTAGTAACCATGGCAACACCATTCACTGAAATCAAAAACCAAAATACATATTGTGTATCATAGTGTATTCTAATTGTGTGCCAAATTAGATTGAAATCAGACCAAAACTGTAGGAGGAGTAGCGTTTTAAAGGAATTTCATAGAAATTTCTATTTTTTAGTAACCATGGCAACATTGTTCATTGAAATCAAAAACTGATGTACTAAATTATGTATCTCAGTGTAGTCTACATGTGTGCCAAGTTATATTGAAATCAGACCAAAACTGTAGGAGGCGTAGCGTTTTAAAGGAATTTCACAGAAATTTCTATTCTTAGTAACCCTGGCAACACCGTTCACTGAAGTCAAAAACCAATGCACTAAATTATGTATCTTAGTGTAGTCTACTTGTGTGCCAAGTTATATTGAAATCAGACCAAAACTGTAGGAGGAGTAGCGTTTTAAAGGAATTTCATAGAAATTTCTATTTTTAGTAACCATGGCAACACCGTTCATTGAAATCGAAAACCGATGCATTAAATTATGTATCTTAGTGTAGTCTACTTGTGTGCCAAGTTATATTGAAATCAGACCAAAACTGTAGGAGGAGTAACATTTTAAAGGAATTTCATAGAAATTTCTATTTTTAGTAACCATGGCAACACCGTTCACTGAAATCAAAACCAATGCACTAAATTATGTATCTTAGTGTAGTCTACTTGTGTGTCAAGTTATATTGAAATCAGACCAAAACTGTAAGAGGAGTAGCGTTTTGACAAATTGTTTCGTACAGACAGACAGACAGATGGACGACGGACACCTTACTATTGCATAAGCTCTTCTGGTCTCAAACCAGTAGAGCTAAATAAAGTGCCCCACCACAGCATGATATGCCCGTCAAATATTGTTCAATTGTCATAAACAGATTAGAGTGCAAGAAAATCATGTCAACCTTGATACAAGGATTTCAATGATTTTTCCATTCCTTTTAATATTTGTTTATACATCTTCTGTGGTGTAGGCATTAATTAAAACAAATATTACATTATAGATCCTCAACTGGTTGTGTTAGAGCTTGACAAATGTCCATCTGCACCCCCCCCCCCTTTCAGATTGTGAAACATGATGCTCTGAATTAGTTAATATTTTCAAAAAATTAAATAAAAATATCATATTAAACAATATCATCAATTTAGTCTTAACAACTTAATCTATATCAAATTAATATTAAAATATTGACACATGGTCACATGACTCTGTTTAACTATGTCATAGTCTCCGTTTATGTAAGAACAAAATGTTCTTGTATTAAATTTTTAACATTTTTTAACTTTAATTCCCATCTCATATAAAAAAAATAAAAAGTTTTAATATTCTTGTAAAAATTAACAAATTATGAAAAAGATTGATCCACTCCCCCGTTTCCCTAAACTGTGCGTCCAACAAGTCGGTGACTTCATACACAATCTGTTAGTACAGCAAGATCATACTCGGTGAACACAGTGGCGGTATTATTATGTAAAAATAGGTCATAATCAGTATATGATGAAATATTTTGATAAACGGGGAACACAAAAAAATATTTTTGCATGGCTGATGACGGAAATCTTATGTAGGTATATCTTATTTCTCTTATTTAGCTTTCGTGTGACGTCATAGTTGGTTTTTCCTGTACTCAAGAAATGTAACATGACACATTTTTGTCATGCTTATGTCCTCTATAACGATGTCCTGTGAAATATTGAGGTCAGCTTCATCATTCGAAATTTTTACAGTTAATCAATAATTTGAAGGATTTGCATTTCAATGTAAATTAAAAAATATTGATTGATAGATTTTTTAGTAAATTAAGTTTTTTATTGTTTAAGTTGTCTTAAAAAGTGCGTAATTTTCCCTATTCAGGTGCAGTGTGATAGAAGAAACTTGCTTTTTCGAATTTTAAACCCTATTAAAAGATACATGTCTTCTTTTATCAGGTTGGGCACAGTTCCTTTTTCGGGGAAGTATTACCATAAAACGGGATTATTCCTCTTTTCAGTAATAAAAAACATTACTGTATACGGGAATTTTCACTCGTTTACACACTATTCTCGTGGTTGCTTTGAATAAAAGATTAAGTGCAAAAATATTTTCATATCCTCTAAATATTCATAGTCTATTAAGTGTATGTATGCTCAAAACTACAATATTTATCGCTGCAAAAAGCTGAAAAAGAGTGATGAAATATTTCTACGATATAAATTTCTTACGGAAGCTTACCTGTGTTAAAATTGTGAGATTGAATACGTTCAGCATTTGCTAACTCGTTCATGAAGTTATTCATTCTAATTTAATTTTATATCATTTCTTTCAAAGACATCGTTAAAATAATTTTTAATACATTGCTTCTTTTACAGATAAAAATAATTATTTGAAATTTAAAATTTAAAAAGATAGTCATTCAAAGATGATTTTAGAATGAATGCCCTTATAAGATTCCATACTTTTCGTATCATTTATCAACAGGGAAAATTAAAGTAAAAGTCGTGGGTCGCTGCTGCACGTGAGTTTAAATTCCTATGCATGTTCAAAAGATGTCACCTCCACGAAACTAAGCTATGAAATTTTTCGTATTTGAACAACTAATAATATTCTTATAAGGGAATTATTCACATCCGTTTGAAGAATACTCATGATGTCGTATGATTAAATCTCATCTTACTCCTGTCTGCAGCACTAAAGGACCGAATTTTTTTGTCAGCGAGGTTGGTTTAATAAAAACACATCACATCGTATTTTTCATGCACTTTTTATTTAATAAACAGATTTGGGGCATTATTTAAAAAAAATGACGAAAATTCCCGTATACAGTAATGCTTTTTATTACTGAAAAGAGGAATAATCCCATTTTATAGTAATACTTCCCCGAAAAAGGAACTGTGCCCAACCTGTTTATATGCTTAAAAAAAGCCCATTATGGACCGAGTAATGAGCCCGGAAACATAGAGAATTAAAACTCCACTTAGAAACTGTCAATAAATATCTCCAAAATAAGGTAAGAAACCCAATGATGTAACTGCTTTAAGATATGTGGGACATACTTAATTAGAAATATACAAAATATAAAAAAAATTGAATGACAAGTATTTTTTCAGCTCAAGGTCCTTCTCCTTAAAAGAGAAAGACGTTCAAACACTTACTTATTGTTGGTATTTGCTTGTACCAAGCTTTGTACAAATGAACAACTCTTGCTCTGGATTCTGCCTTATTTGCAGACATAATAGGTTTGACCTGTTTTAGGCCACCTACGACCTTGTTTGCGGTAGCCATTGCTCTGAGGCTGTATATTGGGCAAGCGGTAAAACTAGTACTGCCGACCCCGACTCTCTCATTTTTATATCGCTTCATACCTGTCACTTGTCAGACACATTTTCTGAGTTGGAATACATGCATGCATGCACAAAAATATGTCAACAATGTTACATTTATATACATTTGCATATGGGCATATTTGGTAATGTTAAAGTTAGTTCTCACATTCATAAATAGGCCCTATATCAAAAATGTTACATTAATAATGTCGTCTGTAATTTCTAGTACTAGGCGGTCGGTGCATCGAAACGCCGAAATGATCGGTTTTTCCTGAAATGACGGTTGAATATGATGAAATGAATGATTAAAAACTGCAGTGACTGTGGATTTCAATTTATTAGGTTACTAATGCCTAAAAAACAAACTTTTTAAGTTCACCCCTTATCCCTAAAGTTTTAGAGCCAATTTTATCGTACATGTAAATATCGGAGGAAATCGACTGCCTTTGACGGGTTTCACAATATACCACGCCCGATTGTTTTTGGTCTCTTATTAATAAAGTAAAGTTTCATTCATGATACACTTTCTACTTTGTTTTATATTCATGAACATTTCATGTATCCCAATATGCTTTACATATTATGCCATTATGATTGAGAAAAATAGTATTGATAAAATATCAACAAAAGTGCACATTATGAATTAAGAAACAGAAAAAAAATTCAAATATGAAATTATATAGAATTATTCAATAATCAATCATTTCTAAATTCTCATTCATTATTTCATCTTCCTAATATGATAATTATGGAGGAATTAAAATGAATAATTTAGAAATATAATCAAAATCAATCATAAATTAATTTAACTATCAGTGAATTATAATTGATATATCAATACATTTATATAACAAATGAACAATTTGGAAATTGGGAACTATTTATATGGGTTTTTATTATTACTATTATTATTATTTGGGGGAAATGTGATTTAATCTTTGTTCACTTGATGAAATCAAGTTATATAGCCAGGAAGGATCAAGTAACTAAATTGAAGTTTTTGAGAATTAGGTATCCCAGTTTTAATCACCTTTACCAAATTCAAATATCTTTCATGATGTGTTCTTAAATTTGTTAGACACAAGTTGTGCAATAAATGATAAATTTATTCATGTTGCATTGCAGGTAGCAATTGAACTTAATTCATATATATTAATGATGTGAATGTCACAATACAAAGGGAAACACTATAATTTGATAAATGTCATTTAAGATGTTTCACATTCTGGTTACTTAAAAATTTCTTTAAACTGTATTTTAATTATTTTTTAATCAAATCTTTTTCCATTTGCCTTTATTGCACACTTTGTGCTCCTTCTATGGCACGCCGATTGCTTCAAAATTATTTTCTGCACAACGATCACGCTTTTATACACGAGCTTGATGAAAAATATACACGAGTAAAATAAAAATGCACGTATCGGTAAAAATTGCACATAATTTTAAAGATTTTAACACAAACTTAACGAAAAATGCACAGATCCGATATTTGTTACAAGAGTTAGGGGTATAAAATGCACAAACGAAAAACAAAAATTGCACGAGCAGAGGAAACTAAAAATTACACAAACAATTTTACTGCGCATATAGCTGCGCATATCATTATTATGCACATAAAATATTCATTGTGTTCTTGATTTTCTGTACCTTTATCTCTTTATGAATGCTGGATGTAATCGAGAGCAAATGGCATTGACGATGACATGCATGTTTCTTTGCTTCTTTACGCAGTTACGTCTTTGCTAAAACTCGATCCGATTTCTAGTAATATCAATCGAACGAATGAAGTGTTTTCTTGTGAACTGTGTGAGAAAATTTAAAAGCTGTTCGGAGATTATGTTTTTCTTATATTGACCGAGATCCTAGCCAAAATATGGAGGTATTATATGATGCCGGACATAAATTGTGACAAGAAAGGAATCGCATGATTGTGCTATATAATGCGGGGTAAAAAAAAAAAGTACCATTGCATTTAATGCACTCGACTCCGAACTAGAAGTAATATTCAAAGACAAAAACACAGCAAACTCTAAATTCCTAACGATAAACAGTACGGCTGACTATGATCTTGATTTTTAAAAAATGATAGAATAACTTTTTTTTTAAATAAACGCTCTATGGCCTTTGAAAATTCTCTTACTTATAGATACAAGATTAACAGAAAATACTTGTATAAAATAAAATTAACACATGCATTGTACGTAGAAAATGGAGAGTCAACTTGATCGGATTACTTTTTACACTACCGAACAGAAATTTACTATTGTTAGCTACATGTATAGTAAATATTCTAATACTATGATTAACTACGTATCTTCGTACGCAAAGATGCATGGGGATCTGAAACTTTTCAGACTTGCATACAAATGTTGTACATAGTTGTATTTAAGTAGTTTTCCTTTAGGATTTTCCATTTAAATTTCTCCTTTTTTCAATTTGTCTAATTTTGAAAAATCACGCTACTTGTATAAGTATTGGTCAAAGCGCCCCACAATATATTTTTTAAATGGGGGGGGGGGGGGGCAATACGAAACCGTCTCTAATTATTTATCAATTTGTCAAAATATCACTATCGGTTTCGTTAAAGAATTTTTCTAGAATATTCTCCATGGGGCGCTTTGACCAACGTTAGGGGGCTCTTTTACTAAAACCAGGGGGCGCTTTGACCAATACTTGGGGACGGTATTTTTATTAACATCAATTTCCTGTAAAATTCTATAAGGAGGCGCTTTGACCAAAATCAGGGGGCACTTTGAGCAAAATCATGGGGCGCTTTGACCGGGACGATTTTCTTAGGGGCGCTTTGGCTCCCGTCTGGAAATATACACAATATGCTGACACCTGGGACCTGGTGATACAATTAACTCTTATTGTTTAAAGGCAGAGATTTTATAGGCATATCCACAGTCATTGCAGTTTTTAATCAGTCATTTCATCATACTTAACCGTCATTTCAGCAAAAACCGACCATTTCGGCGTTTCGTGTCACCCAGTGTACAGTGATACATTGCTGACAAGTTAAATTGATGCAAAGCATCAAATCGGCCGCAAAAAAAAAATAAGTAAATAAATTTAACATTTTAAAGTATTTCCACACGAAAGAGTCCAAATAAAAAAAAATCAAAGTAGAAAAAGTAAACGATACATTTCTCAGTGATTAATTGTTAAATATTAGTTAAAATAAACAAGAGGCCCAAGGGCCCTAACGGTCACCTGAGTATAATACAACAATTTAGAGGATCCACAGAGTATAAAATAAACTGATAGATGAAGCTTTGTTGCCCAAAAGCAAGAGAAATAGGATGATCAGGATAAATGAAATAATTAGTCTAGAATTCAGTAACAACTCTTAAATTAAATTCTAATCTGGCAAGACCAGAAAACAATTAAGATCTCATAATTTTCATGCTTGTGATTCAGTAAATTAATGATCATAATTATGCCTATCTAGCTTATATTCTATAAAAACTGAAGGTTGATCTCCAATGTGTAATTATTATATATTCAATATAAACCATTGATAATTACATGTACTTATAACTGGTGTATCAGTATTGATCTTTTTTTTAAACAATATAAACACAACAATTTTCAATGATTATACATAATTGTTGTCTTCAAAGAGTCTTATTTTTTTCTTATTTACTTCTCAAAATATTTAGAATGTAAAAAAAAAAAATACTGATTAGAGAAATGCAGATTTTTGAATTATATTTCTTTTAAAGACGTTCAATGTTTTATTCTTATTAATTTATTCATTAATTTTTGCACAGATAATTTTGATCAACAGGTAATTGTTAAGATTTTTTAAAAAGTGAAATGTAACATGTACATAAATTAATTTAATTTATTAATTCATAATTAATTTATCTAATTACGTATTTAATAATAATTTATTTAATCATTTAATTAATTATTTTTTATTTATCTATCTATTTATTTAATTTATTTATTTATTAATATTTATTTTTTTTTAATTCATCTATTTTTAAAAATTTTGTCTACAAATTTTCATTATTTTTACACTATCTTTTGTAAAGGTAATTTTCAGGTAAAGCACAAAAGATATACTCATACATGAAAAACAGACTATAGCCTGCTAATCACTCAGGTGTAAAAATCAAAATGTTGGTTATGTGGGAATTGTATTTTTAAAAATGTTGGCTAAGTGGGAATAACCCCCCCCCCCCCCCATTTGGCACTATCACCATGCAGACTATTAACAAACTATTAGTTCTTCTGTACTACTTTTAACCCCCTATTGTGACCTCTCACATTGGCCTCTCTTGGTCTTTGAAGAACATTTAATAATTTAATTTTGTCTCAATTTTATTCATTTATTATTTACAAGTCTACCTGATCATTAAAACTATGAAAGTACTTTTTGTATTATACAATAATTTTTTTTGCATAATTCTCTTATTCTATTAACTTTCAAATACATTATTTACAGTGATTAATTATTAAAAGTGAATGGCAAAGGGGAATAACTTCTCTCAGTTGATACAAATTAATAGAGCCCTGACCAGGACCAGAACGCTTGACCAAATGGTCCTGATGTTCAATATCATTGCTTATTAAAACTTTTATTCTGATTGCCTTCGATATGCCAAGGAGCAGAGAAGACTTTCAAAGAAATGATGCATTTTCACCACAGATTCAACACAGCCCTACCCTAACACTGAAACCCATGTCCCAGGGTCATGAAGTTCACAACTATGCACTTAGTTGAAGATTTTCAGGGAATTAACACATTTTCACTTTATTATCAATATAGCCCCCCCCCCCCCCCTCGCGGAGAAACACCAAAACCTGGGGACCACAAGTTTTAAAAATTTTGTAAGAAGCACAATTGTTCATCATAACTATGCACTTTGTTTATCTGTTAAACACGGAGGAACAGACAGGATTATTAAACAGAATTAATGCATTTTCACTATATTATCAATAGAGCTCCAAACCTACACCACAAT